GCACACAGGGTGTGCGTTTGCTCACTACTGAGCTACAGAACATCTACTGGCCCCTAAAGAGTCCTTACAAATATAAAGGAACATTAAAGTATGAAAAGTTGTAACAGTTTCCTACCTAAAGACAATCCAACCTGGACAAGGACAGGCCAGTTAGCATAATATGTTGATCAAGAGCTACCAATAGTATTGATTTAGACATTGTCTCTAGGAATTCTCCCATCTAATTTAATTTGCTCTGAATTGCTGTCACAATTACTAGAGTCAGCCTACTGATGTAGTAAGCAGTATGCTGGTATCTACAGTTCTAAGCCACATATAGAAATTAGGAAGAGATTCAATAGCTTTCTTCTACATCTGTATTTTTCCACAGCTTGTTTCCTACCATCACTGATGCTGGGAAAATAATCTGCTCTGCAGTGATGTAGAGAAACATTTGGAAATATTTCGTAATTTCACACAATACTTGAAGTGTGAAAGAATCTCATGCATTAAGTTCTTCAGTGCTTCAAGTGAAGAGATTAGGGTCCAGAGGACAGGGCACTGGCTAGGGCTCAGAAGACCTACCTTCTATTCTGCTACTAACCTGCTGGCTGAGTCACTTCACCTTTCCATTTCACTCTCCGTTCTTTGTTTTTGGGGGGTTTGTTTGGTCTTGTCTAATTATATTGTAAGATCTTTGAGGTAGACTATCACCTCAGTCAGTGGCTGCATAGCACTAGTACATTATAATCACTGCTAACTCCTATGTAGTGCTTTCATGAATAATATCAAATTGCTTTGAAAAGAGGATCAGGATCATTTATGCCCATTTTACAGATGGGGAAAGTAAGGCTTAAGAAGCGAAAGTGACTTACTGAAGATGCCTCAGAGAACAGGTAGCAGAGTTGGAAGTAAAATACAGGTTTTCCAAGTCTTAGTCTCTCTGTCTGCTAAGCCACACTGCTCTGAAAGGAAACCTACCAGTTTCCTAATTTCAGGTGAGGTCTCTGGGTTCTACGTTAAATACAATAAGCAAATGTGCTTTTAATCAGGGAAGAATAGTCATATCAAAATAAACAAGCTCTGTCTAACTATCACACCCAGGGTGTTAGTTTCCCTTGACTAAATTTCTGAATTCTCCATCTGCTTTATCAACTTCCTCAGAAATGCCCTATAATTCATTTAAATCCCGCCTGGACAAGCAAGTGTTTAGTTTGATTTTTCAAGCTGTCCCCAGTCGAGCAAACACATATGTTTCATTTTAAGCAGATGAGTAGCCCCATGGCTTAATGTATGTGCTTAAGTACTTTCCACATGAGAAACATCATCCTCACAAGCTTTGTAAGACTGATCCCCAGTATCTGTATTAGCTCCAGCAAGTGGGATACCATGATTGTGCCATGAGTCAGTAACTAGACAGTAGACTTCAGAATGGTACTTATGATAAGTGGGTGGTTATATTCCTTTTGAGACAGTAATGGCCACTCTTTCAGCATGGTATTTCTGTGCACATAAACCAGTTTCAGAATGGCTGAAACTAGTTTAAGATAAACCTGGTTGAATGTAGTATCAGTTAAGTAATCAGACTTAACTGATTTGGGTCAAACCAGTTTATAAAACTTCTGTCCAAGACCCCTTCCTGCTTTAAGTTAAATCAGAGTCCCCCGGTATGCTTTGTAGCCCTGGAGCTGGACTGTGCTGTCTGCTCCAGAGAGCAGGGCTGGCCCTGCCCCTCTGCTTCCTAGATGGAGCAGTGAGGGCTGGCTGATGGGGGCTGGGGGGGGCAACCCAGTCTGCAGAGAGGGGGACTGCCCATCCCAGGCAAACCCTGGCTGGGGTCTGGGGCCAGGGAGGGGGTTAAACACCCCTTCTCCTAATCAAACTTACTACTGGCTGCAGTTGTGGACTACAAATCCCAGAGGTGCTTGGAAGCATGAAGAGGAAATGATAAGCAACTCTGCAGAGTTCTGCAGTTGTGATTTTGGACTACACATCCCAGAGAAGCAAACACACAGCTCATAATGGATGTGCCAGAGAGCCATGCTCTAGTGCCCCCCACCCCCACCCCCCGGCTTCTGGTCTGAGCTACTGCAGGCATGCGGCTGCATTGCCTGAATCAAAAGTAAATGTCTGTTCACTTCTGTTTCAATTTAACTCTGAAGTTTAGACTAACCTGCAAAAACTGAATAAATTCAGCCTCAGGCTTTTTGACTGCCTGCACTTAGCCCTGGGCTTTATCCCTGCTCTGGGGGGAAGCTGGAAGCAATATATTCTGAACTGCTGAAGGACTGCAAATTTCTTGCTTTATCTCTGTGGAGCAGACTGGAGTTACCTTAACATGAGCTAGGTAGCATGGCCCAGAGTTAACCCTCATCTGAAATAGCTTAACTTTGAGATGTTCAGAGGGCACTTAGCATGAGTTAACAAGTTTTAACATGGGGACACTTGCATTTCAAATGTCCTTAATACAGTCTATGTAATATGTAACTTCACCCTAGGTGTCTTCAGAGCATGCCTATCAGATCAGGAACTGTGTAGAAGTCAAAGGCAGCTACCACTTTCTTTTAAAGCAAAAAAACAACAACAGAAAAGGAGTTCTTGTTCCCTGCCCTTTATAGAAGGTTCAAATCCACTTCTGATACCTCCTAGAAGACAGCCCTCACTAGCAGGTGAGAGGCTATTCTGGGCCAGAAGTGGGGGGGGGGGGTGATATTCTTAATCTCTCCTTTTGAAGCTAATCTACTTAGGATAAAAGTTAAAGATTCATTAGGCCAGAGAGAAGAAGCAAGTGTGAGAATGACTCTGACTGTAACCTTGTGGTTAGGGCACTGATCTGTGAGAAGGGAGGTCTGGGTTCTAGTTTTTCCTCTAAGGAGTGTTCAATACAAAATGCATGAGCAGTTCTTGGAGAATGAACATGAATCCAGGCTCTTTTGTCCCAGCTGCATGTTCTTGCTATCAGGTGACAGTCTTGCTCCATGTCTGCTTCAGGTAAATGTTAACTCTTTCATGCAAAATAAGAACATTCCCCAAATAGGTCTTATAATTCTGTCCTTTGGGCAGGGGGAAAGATGTGGGTTTGAATCCTCTCTAGGTAATTGAACCTGATGTTCTACATCCTTGATGGGTGCTGTAACCAATAGACCCTTGGATAACAGGGAGGTGGTAACTTCCCCTCTGATTGTGCTTTAAAGGAAAAGAGTGTGACCTACTCCATTTTTTTCAAAAAAGGTCTCACATGCCTACCTATATCTGGACAGAAGGTGGCACCCAGGGCAGGGCAGGATTTAAGGGACATGCTTGTCCTCACCATTTCCCTGTTAGTTACCCTTGGCAACTCACTGCTTAATGTTCTCATTTCTGTGGATCCCATTTTGTGGTGCCTAACTCTCTTCCCCAAACAGTGTATAAAGTATTTATGTATCTACCCCAAGACTCTGGATTGCGCTACAGAGACCATAACCCTGTGTTACAGCACCTGTGTTGATCTGGATGTAAATGACTTGTCCCAGGGTCTCAAAACAAGTCTATAGCCATAGGCGGTGGAAGGCTGGAGGTAATGGGTCTTAGCCCCCACAAATATGGGGCAGCAGGTAGGGCCGGAGGGCTGCCCAGGTGCGGGCTCCAGGTGGCTGCAGGGGCAGGGACTGGGGGGAATGGGGCCCTGGGGCCAGGGCATGTCGTGGGATACTCAGAGCCCAGGCAGCTCATCCACGGGCATGGGGGGGCTCCCACTGCTGTGCACACCCCGGCAGATGCCCGGGGGCATGTGCCCTCCAGATTAGTACATGGGGCAGAGGCAGGCTGCCTCTGTGGGCTGGGCTCTGTGCCCTGCTGCTGATGCCTTGGGAGCAGCATGATGCCATGTGCCTGCCATACAAGAGGTGCAGAGCCCAGTCTGCAACAGCAGCCCCGTGGACAGATCCAGGAGGTGCATGCCCCCAGGCCTCTCTCGAGGTGCACACAGTGGTGGGAGCCCTCCCCATGACCCTGGACAAGGTGCCCAGGCTCCGAGTATCCCATGACCCGCCCCAGCTCTGGGACCCCATTCACCCCTGCCTCGGCCTTTGCCCCACTCCCTCCGTCATCATGGGAG